TATTGTGGTAAATGAAATAATAATTTAATCTCGATAAGAGTTTTTCCTTCCTGATTTGTAAAAAAATCCTTACGTGATAGAAAAAAATTAATATTATTTTCAAAATCTGCATAGATAAATTACGAAAAATCCATTAAAACCAATACAACTTTTATGAAGTTTAAATTCACAGGTCTGTGTTATTAATTGTAACTCCTTTCTTATATAACTATATATTAATTATTAACTATGACAACAGTTGACATCTGATCACCATAATCCTACATAAGTATGCTTTTTTTTAAAATAATATTAAACTTTAGTCCTCCAAACAAATGTCTAGAGCATTATAAGAGTAATATATAAATATTATTGATATGTATATGAAGTCAGCACATTAATCATTCAGCGAATTGTTGATTTTAAAGCCTACAGAATATTTTTTATTGATAATGATGAGTGAAAAATTCTCCTTGTTAAATATTTGCTTGCATTGGACAAGTTTAAACCAAACCAGTTAATATACATGTTTGGAGAGGGTTTTTTCATTTTAACTTTGAAAATACAATTACCAAGAACAATCATTGATTATTAAAACCACGTTATAAGTAATTCACTATCATTATCAATAACAGCTTTATACATGAAAACCATATTATTTAGTACAGTTGTTTATTATATATCATATTATAAAATAATTCACTACAATTATCACAAACAACTTTATACATGAAAACATTGTTTAATACAGTCTTTAATTATTATATTTCATATTATAAGTAATTCATTACCATTACCACAAACAGTTTTATACACATAAGTAATGTTATTTAATACAGCCATTAATTACTATATATCATCTCCTAAAGTAATTCATTACCATTATCACAAACAGATTTATAGATAAAACAATATTGTATAGAACAGTCATTAATTAGTGTGTCATTTTATAAAGTAATTAGTTACCATTATCACAAATAGATTTGTACGTAAAACAATATTGTATAGTACATTTATTAATTACTATATACCATATTAGAAGGTAGTTCAATAACAATACTAGAAACATCCTTATATAGGAAAGCAATATTATGTATAGCAGTTATTAAGTACTGTATATCACATATAAAGTAGTTTACTATTATTATAAAGTAGTTTATTTATCATTACCAGGAATAAAATAGTTCACTACTACTGTTAAGAACAGCTTTATCAATGTAATTTTCTCAAAGTTTCAGATAAATAGTTGTTGAATATGTAGCATTAATGTTTCTGTCTACAGAATTACATACCTGAGCTGCTACGTGAAGACATCCCTCAAGCACTGAGAGGTCAAAGAAATGTGATTTTTGGAAACCTAGAAAAAATCTTTGAATTTCATAAACACTACTTTCTTAGTGAGCTAGAGCAATGTAATGACTCTCCATTTCTTGTTGGTCAGTGTTTCTTACAATATGTAAGTAGACTTGTTATTTTAATGTTGTATGTTATGTATCTTGAAGTGTAATATCAAAATTAAACAAGCGTATTTGGGTCTTTTTGTCCCAAACGCAATTATAAAATAATCAGTTTCTTAATGTCACTATATTGTGGATATGTAAGCCCGATTTCTAACAATAACAGTCAGTAATCCAAGTTCAAATAGTATTTAAGCAATGCACTAACAAAGCCTCAATTGTATAAAAACATTGGAAGATAACTGAGTGTTTCAGAATTTAAAAAACACCATACTATCTCTTGTTTTCCTTTCTTGTGTATTTTATTACATTTGAGGGGTTTATAGAAAGGGGTAGTATTTTAATTCCTCTTAGTCAACCAACACATCCAACTTTTCATACTACAGTATAGCCCAAACTCAATAAGATACACTTCTATTACCTTTCTGTGAGTTTTATCGTACCAGTTCTGTAAAGTATAGGTTTGTATCTTTTTGTGTGTAGATGCTTTAGAAACATTAGTTTTTTTAAAAGTGTTGTCTATGCAGACCATTTATGAGAGAATCAAAAAAAAAAAAAGAAAGACGCAAGTCACAGCTAGATGATAGGTCAGTATTTTCATGGAACGGAGAAAGATTGTTTGTTCAAAGTTATCAGTTGTAGTCTTTTTGGCAAATGGGTGCTAATATTTCCATGTTGCAAGATAATTATTCATATCAAAGAGTTGGGAAAGTAAATCCCCCTTCTCTCTGAATATTTTTTTACTTTTTAACCCAGTCAGTTTTGAATTTACATAAAACAGTACACACAACTAAACCTTATGGTGTTGAAGTATTTATATTATGTTCTTTGGTGGAAAATACTATCATCAGGTCATATTTGAACACAAACCTCTAGAGTAACATAAAAATGTAATAATTGAAACTTCTATAAAATTATAAAAGTTGTTGTTTTTGTATCTTATAAGGACATTAATTTTACAGAATTGAGGAAAAACAAGATAACTGTGCATTTCACAAATACATCATTTATTCACGACCATGTTTTCACCAGTAAAGGCATCATCACCATAGTCATGAATAAATAATGTATTTGTGAAATGTATAATTTCCTTGTTTTCCTCAATCCTGTAATTATGGAGTTTCTCCAAGTACCAATAATTTCCAGTATCAATGATATTATTTTACTTTTTATTACACTTACCTCAAGTTTTACAGTATAAAAATAGAAAGAAATAGCTAAAATTGTTGTTTTTATAACACAGAATTAAATAGTATGTAGAATAATATGGGACTGCTTTCTATGTTAAAATACTTTTATTTTATTTGCGAGCTTTTGGTCCTCTTACTGGAGCCTTCATTAGGCAACAATATACTAAGCAATACAAATGTGTTAATGTTTCTGGCAGATGACCACATAAAATGTTTGTTTTCTACATATCTATTGTACTCCTATTGTATGCTTTCTTTCGTAACAATAATTTACTCTTTGCAGGAATCACAGTTTTATCTTTATGCTTTGTACAATAAGAATAAACCCAAATCAGACTCCTTAATGGTGGAATATGCAAGCATATTCTTCAAAGTAAGTGAAATTTTTGTTATTTGCCATTTTCATCTGGTATACTTCAACATTTGTATTAGGCTTATGTTTTCCCTTTTATAATTTACAATAATTTTTAGAATTATCGATTTTATACACATTGTCAAAACTAGTTCTTTGGAACTGGAAATCTGAGTAATTGAACTTGAATAATAGTTTCTATTTATTGGAAAGCAAGATTTCATCACTTAATTGTAAAGGAAAAAGAGAAAAGAGTAATCAGATATTAGCAGTATTGCAAAGACTAGTTCCTGGAAGAATGCAAGTCAACTGAACCATGGTAATGACTTAAATCCCTGTCTCATGTTGATGAGAAGTTTTAACAAAATACAAATAGCTATTAATAGAAAATATCTCAATATCTCATTTTTAGAAGAAACAGTTGGAGTTAGGAGACAAGATGGACTTGTCTTCATATTTGCTTAAACCTGTACAAAGAATGGGAAAATATGCTCTTCTATTGAAACAGTTACTGAAGGAATGTCCAGAGAAGAACTCGGAGTACCAAGATCTAAAGGTATGTAACAGTAGATTCTAATAACTTTACCTATATTAAGATCTTAGTACTATAATAGTTACTGTACACATTTAGCAAATATTAGAGACATGATCTGAAAGTATGTAACAGCACATTATAATAATAATTATTGTACGAATTTAGCAAGTATTTGTATGAAGATCTGAAGGTATGTAGAATAGTAGGTTCTACAACAGTATTTTTAGGAGTTTAACAAGTATTAATATGAGAATTTGAACGTAGGCAACAATATGGTCTACAAAAATCAATATAATAGTTTAACAAATACCAGAATCTGAAAGTAGGTAACAGTACGGTTTACAACAACAAGTATTAGTAACAGAAACTGAAAGTAGATAACTTGTGATCTATAAAAATAACTATAAACGTTTAACAAGTATTAATACCAGAATCTGAAGGGTTCATTATAGTATAAACATATGGGTTGTGTAATCTGGATCCATCCAATCTATATTTACCTGTGAATCTTTTTGTTTGTGTTATAATATAAAAATTTAAAGATACTCCTAATTTTATATATATATATGTATGTACACCCACAGGCTGCAGAAGAGATGGTTCGTTTTCAGTTACGACATGGTAATGATTTGCTGGCTATGGATGCTTTGAGGGATTGTGATGTAAGTTGTTTCATATACCCAGCTAGCTTAATATAACTTTCAGCTGTAGTTTGACTTTTATAATTATGCTCTTCATCAATGATGCTTTTAAGTCAAGAAACAGGAAGTATCTAGTGTGGAAATATAAATTTCTCTCACTGGTTTTAAAATTACCTATATGTATTCTCACTTTCAAACCAAACCCTATACACTAGTTACTGTTGTTGATTTGAGTGTGATTTTTCTTAAGGTAAATGTAAAAGAACAAGGACGTCTTCTCAGGCAAGGGGAGTTCATAGTTTGGCAAGGACGATCTCGTAAGTCATTGCGGCACATTTTCCTCTTTGAAGACCTCATTCTTTTTAGCAAAGCACGACAGGATTTCAATCAAAAGGGCCAGGAGATTTACCAGTACAAGCAGAGCATCAAGGTTAATCATCTTTGGATTATCACAATACTCAACAGAACCTGTAGTAATAAGTTCAAGTTGCATTAGATTGTAAATTAAAAGTTTAAAATGAGGAATTATGTGATAACTTCTACTAGAAGAGCTGCTAAAATTCTACAATAATAATTACAATTAATAGTAAATAGGTCATCAGTTGGGTAATCTTGCTTCTAGCATTGTTTTCAGCCCTTAACCTTAACATGAAAATTATGTAATAACATTTACCAGAAGAACTGCTAAAATTCTACAATAGTAATTAAAATTAATAAGAAATAGTCATAATTATGAGTAACATGCAAACTACAAAAAGCTTCTATGAAGACTTTGCCATAGGTCATCAGTTTGGTATCCATGCTACTAGTAATGTTTTCAACCCTTAACCTTAACAAGTATTAATACCAGAACCTGTAGGGTTGGTTATAGTAGGAACAAATAACATAGGGAAATGAGTTGCATAATTCAACTACAACCTTTAAAAACACTAAAACCTGTTCACTAGGTATCCAAAAGTTTGGTAAAGTTGTGAAAGTCACTTGTCTTGTTATAAACTGGGTATTGAATTGAATATTGAGGATGTATGTGACACTTATCTCAACACAAGTAAGATTATGTTAGTTTGTTAATCAACTGAAGCACAAAAGTGTTTACTCTAATACTAAGATTTTATATTTATTAAATTATTGTTTTGTGAAACAATCAATATTTTTTCTTAGTAGATTGTTTATGTTCTCTACTTCAGACCTCTGACATTGGAATGACAGAACAAATGGGAGATAGCCCCACTAGATTTGAAATTTGGTTCCGTAAGAGAAAACTAAATGATACCTACATACTTCAGGCACCAAGTCCTGATGTGAAATATGCATGGGTTCAGGAAATCTCAAAGCTTTTGTGGAAGCAAGCCCTAAGAAACAGAGGTAAGATTTTTTGGAAGAGGATATTTTATTTTTCTTGTCATGGAGTAATTTACTTTATGGACTGATGTTTTTCTGGACTTCTAATATTGTCTTTCATGATTTCAAGATGAGATTTCGGGCACCAAACCTGAAACATTATCTAAAAATCAAAAACTATTGCCAAAAGTTCATAGAAAACTCGGTACACATGTTGACTGCATTGCCTAAATCAACTTTAAAGTAAGTTCTTTAATTTATTGATACAAAAAGACAGATATTGTGATTGTATAAAATACTTCAAATTCTAATTAGTAAATATCAGATATAATTATAAGAATTTGAATATAATAGAAAATGTATTTTTGCTTTAGAAATGCGTTTGGCAGAAATGTCATCAATGGGGATTGGCAACAAACCATGTCTGGATATTAGGCCTAGTGAAGATCAGATCAATGACCGCCTCGTGATGATCGAGCAGAACCACAGAGGTGATTTTTTCTTTGTTTTTTAAATTAAGAAATTTTAATATATTTGTTTGTAGCATTTTCTGGCTTGGATTTATCTCAGCATAGTCAGTTATGGCCCAGTAACTGGAAATCTTTTTTTACTTTGTCTTTAGTACCTCGGTTCAAGAATTCAGTTGCAGTGTCATCATATGACCAACTACGAAATAACAAACGGCCTCACTCTATCATTTCTGTGAGCAGTTCCTCTTCAGGAAGCAGCCAATCTTCATGTACTGCTTATGGAGCCTTAGGCCTTGGCTTTGATTCATGTTTCTTGCAGAGCCTTGTGGCAGAAGAGTCTCAGTTTTCATCGGGTTGGTTGTATAATTCATTTTTCTAATGAATCTCAGATATATGTTTATCATGAGCAAAGTGTAAATCTTATGGATTTTGTACCCTGAAACTTTATCCCTACAAGTATTTTCCTTGTTTTTCAAGGAATTTATTGGGCAGGTTGTATGCTGCCACTGTGTTTGTAATAAACAAATGAAGCAAAAGTTATAAAGATTCTTATCACATTAACCTTTATCTCACTTTATTTCCATTTTTATAATTATTATTTATTTACAACTATATAACTTGGGATATAAACAATTAAGTGTTTCTACAGATTTAAGATGCCTCATCTTGTATTGTTGTCAGAGATAGAATGTAGGAATAGTTCACTGTGTCTATTTCTTTAACCAGATCATATGTACTTATGTCTTTTATTATTTTCTTCTTTTTGCTACCTTTGGTACATGCTTTCTTATGTCACCAGTTTGTACTACTTTTGTTGTATGCTTTCTTATGTAATCTACCCATACTGCTTTTGCCTTACTTTTTTTTTTTAGAGTTTATAATATTTGCTGTGAAAGATAATTGTGTTGTTGTGTACACAGAAAGTGGTGTCGAAACAGATGTCAGTATGCTAGGTGATTGTTCACTGGAGGTAGACAGGCCTCACCACAAAAAACCAGAACGTAGTGATAGCATTCTCTCAAATGATTCAGTCATCACAAACTCACCTTCACCAGTAGCCCTACTACATGAAGAGCAACTATTGGAGGAGGTAAATTTTTCTTGAAATTCAGCTCTACAGACTTTCTTTAATTTTCAGATTGCTATTTATTTTTCTCTTTATTATTGATAAAAAATCAAAACAGAAGTATAAAATTTCTATTTGTACCAATGTAATATATATATATTTATTTATTTTATTTTATCTAGATAAGGATTTTCAAGTCTGCTAGAAACTATTTTGAACCAAAAAACTTTATAACATTGCAACTTACAAGTAAAAGTAAATTTGAGCTTATTTTCTTCTTTAGCACAAGTCACAATTTAGATCTTGACTTACAACTAATTTGTATCCAGGTTGAAAGATAGCTATAACTCAAAAATGATAGAACATTCTTATGCTTTAAGCAAGTGCTCATTGGTAGTAGTTTCAATGATATTGAAGTTATCCAGATGAATAAGATTATTATTTTTTTAATATAACATTATCTGCCAACAATAGCTTGCACATTTACAAATAATAAACAGATCTCAAAGATGCATCAAAATCCTTTGAGGAAAGATTGATTTGTACAAACTTTCCTACCAGCTGTAAATAATGTAAAGTATTGAAGTATTCTTACTGCTATTGCCTGTAATACACACACACACAGTAATTATCACATATAATCACACACAGGTTTTGTAGCTAATTGATGGTAGTGACAGTAATAAATACAAAAAAATGTTTCTTAACACTGTAATAAGATAGTATATTACATTAATGAAAGTGACAAGTGAGATAACATTGAGTATGGTGTGTATCAAAAGTCATAGTGGTGAGACAGTATTGGTTTGTAACAACAAAACTTGCAGTATCAAAACTTCTGTAGTAGTGAGACAGTATTGGTTTTTAATAACAAGACTGTCGGTATCAAAACTTCTGTAGTAGTGAGACAGTATTGGTTTGCAATAACAAAACTGTCGGTATCAAAACTTCTGTAGTAGTGAGACAGTATTGGTTTTAATAACAAGACTGTTGGTATCAAAACTTCTGTAGTAGTGAGACAATATTGGTTTGTAATAACAAGACTGTTGATACCAAGACTTCTGTAGTAGTGAGACAGTATTGGTTTGTAACAACAAGACTGTCGATACCAAGACTTCTGTAGTAGTGAGACAGTATTGGTTTGTAATAACAAGACTGTCGGTATCAAAACTTCTGTAGTAGTGAGACAGTATTGGTTTGTAGTAACAAGACTGTCAGTATCAAATCTTCTGTAGTAGTGAGACGGTTTTGGGCTGTTTTGTATTTTTCCCAGCCCAAGGAAAACACTGTTGTGTAATCCAACATACTAACTAGTCAGATGGATCCAAGTATGAGTTATCAAAATTCTGCCAAAGGGCTGACCAAAGAAACAAAGCAATAGTGGGTCTAATATTTAAAACCAACATATATGAAAAACTTATAATGTTATTCTACAACCTAATGTTGAAAACTTTAAGCTTTTAATGTTGTTGTAGAAAATGGTTAGTAAATCTATATTAATATTTGCCTTTTGTTCTTATTCGTTCATTCAGAGAGCAGTTGTAGTGATTTGTTCATTCAACTTTGCAGCTCTACTGCAGGCAGGCTGTTTGTTGTCAAATATAAAATGTTCCTACATGGTTTTTCTTGTGAAAAATTCTTACTGCGCATGCTTATAATGCATACTGAGAAGCAGAATTATAGTATGATGATGTGAACAGTGCAACAATCTGTTAAATTTAGCCACCATCTATAGAAGCCCATGGATTTACGTGCTACACATGTAATGTACATTATTTAACAAAAAATATCACACAATGCTATTGTTGGCTTTTTTTCTTGTTGTTGTTCCTGACTGAGAGTAATGACAATATTATGTGAAAACTATATGTTAACAAATGAGATTGCATTACCATGTGGTAACATGTACCTTACAATTAGAAAATAAATTGTATTTAAATACAGTTAGCTACTGAAGAACTTTTGATACAGACAGTTTTTCTTTTATAGATCATTCAGGCAGAGTTTTCATGATGAACAAATATAGGTGAAATAGGCAGCACTACATAGTATAGCATGGTTCTTTTGTGTAATATACAAACAAAATGCCCTGTTTTGTATATTACTGCAAATTTATTGATAGTATTAAGTACAGTAAAGTCTAGTCCTAACTAAACTAAAGTAAAAAATATACACAGGTTACAGTGTTAATTTATCTCTTTATCGAGTATAGGCATTACTTTATAAAACCTTAACTATTGTTAGGCCTAAGACAAATGAACTTGCACATTTTGGTGCTTATTATTAGTTTGTATTATTTTAAAAATCCAGTATTTTAAATACTATTTTAAGTACTGTTGCAGTAAAAGACACTAATTTAACCACAAATGTTTTGCAGGTCTCTGCTACTTTCTTATAAATATAAAAGTGACCAGCAGACTGATGATACTAGTAAAAAAAAAACAAAAAAAAAGCCTGCAATAGTGGTTCACTAAAAAGCAGACCACTAAAAAGATAAGACCATTTATTCAGTTTTAAGCTCTACTATAAGCAAATTGCTAGATAATTAAGATTAGTTTAAAATAAGTAATAACCTCAATGTGGAAGAGCTGTTTGACTGGCTATCAATGACACAAAATAACATAATACTTGAAGTTAAGATTATAGTTGTTGTTAACAAATAAGCTGATCCTTCAATAACTTCTTTATTGGTCTCAGACTTTCATCTGTGACCCTTTAGATCTTATTTTATTTCTAATACTAAATAGTTAGTTACCTTATCATTTAAAGTATACAAACTTTAAAATGTACTTGATTGGCAATGCTGGACTAAATTAAATTTAAAATGTACTTTCAGCTACATGAGATGTATTTGAGTTGTGATGTAAAACTTCCTTGGTTTTTGGTATTAATGGCTTTAAAATTAACCTTGCATTTTAGAAAACTGGTATGTTAAATAACATTGATGTGTTTTAAATACTTATAAGTTTGTAGCAATTGGATATGAAGCATTGTCAGGACTTAAATAGCCTGTACAATCACCTAAGTCTAATTATTAATCTTATATAATATTTATTACTAGATTCAAGATATTATATAGTCTACTAACCATAACAATGGCTGACATTGTTTTTAATATTTTTTTTATCTGTTTTATTATTTGGTAATATTCAAACACAAAGCTTGTAAGTTAAACAAGTTTACATTGTGTAAATGGTCTGTTGTTTTTTCTACAGGCCAGGGAGAACACTGTTATGTAATCTACCATACTAACTAGTCAGATGGATCCAAGTACGAGTTATCAAAATTGTGCCAAACGGTTGACCAAAACAAACAAAGCAGTAATGGGTCTAGTATTTAAAACCACCATACATGACTACAATAATGTAACAAATAGGGCATTTTGTTTGTGTATCAAACAAAAGATAACGAAAAATACCAAGTTGGCTTAGACCTAAACAGTGTGTAATGTAAGTGTTAGAACATAAAACCCTTGTTAACTTAGTGTCAGTTCATTAGTAGGTTAATGCTAAGGTTTTGTACAAACTTGTGGTTTTATAGTGGATACATGGGCATATAAATAATGTTGCTTATTATTATTACTCATAGTTCTGTAACACTTTAATGTTATTCCATATATTTAAGTATATTAGAATATTCAAAATAATTATACAATAGGTTTGAACTATTTTCTATTATAGTAACTTGTCCGGTTTATTTTTTATTATCAATGAAATATCTGATGTTCTTTGATCAGAACTTTGTATTATATCATTTTGAGATTGGCAGTGTTAAAAAAAATGGTGTTTTTCAGTTTTTACTTCCACAGTTACAGAGGTTTGATTTTAGCTAAATAATATTATATATATTTTATTAGCTTCTAATTGTTTTGCGTAATTCAGAAGTTCAACACATTAGCAATGTCCAGAGAAGAAGCTGAATTTGATTTATTGTAGTAATTATCAATATCAGCCTAAATCCTGTCTGCACTTAATAACTGCACACTAACCTACAAAATTCTCAATGAACCACTTGATAGCACTGTTACCTGCAACTACAGTTTTGATACATTTATTATACTTCGCATATCTACAGTAGTGTAAGCTTGCTATGTGTGTTTTACAACATATCTCTGCCCTACACTAGGGCTAGCTTGCTACATGTATTTTACTACATATCCTTACCCTACAGTAGTGTAAGCTTGCTACGTGTGTTTTACAACATATCTCTGCCCTACACTAGGGCTAGCTTGCTACATGTATTTTACTACATATCCTTACCCTACAGTAGTGTAAGCTTGCTACATGTATTTTACTACATATCCTTACCCTACAGTAGTGTAAGCTTGCTACATGTATCTTACTACATATCTCTACTCAACAGAAGTGTAAGCTTGCTGAATGCATTTTACCATGTACCCCTACTGTAGTTTCAGCTTGTTAAACATATTTTATTACATATTCCTAAAAATATAACAAGCAATGTCTTCATTAAATTATTTTCTACAAAGCTTTCAATGGTGTAATAGACTGTACAGCTAATTAATATTTTTTTGGAGTAAATTAGTCGTACATTAGCAATAAAGTATAGACTATAAACTTGCTTTTGGTGAATTGTACATGTACATAAGAATTGGAAATTTCTCTTTAATCCAGTGATAATTTTGAGACATAAGCAACGAGACTCTTGATTGTGTTTTTAGCTCCACATGTACAGTCAATAAGTAACTACTGTCTGTGTCATATCACCCAATTAAAAATTTAGTATTTTATTGTGTAAGTCAAATAAAAAATGTTGTAATCAAAGAATTTGTGTGTATTTTCTTTAAAAATATTTGTGAAAACTTATGTAACAGAGGATTAAAAGTGAACACAATGATTATTTAAGAAAGACTACACATAAAGGTGAACATATGTTAGAAGTTAGAAAAAACAGATGAAGGTGACCATACATAAGGAATTTAAGAAAAAGACTAAAAGATGAAACTGAGTATGTATTAATAAATCACCCAAAAAAAAAGGACTACAGATAAAAGTGAAAACACATTTATTCCTTATTTGCATTTCACAAGTGGGGGAAGCATGGCACAGTAGTAAGTACTTTGGACTTGTAGTCAGAAGATTGGCAAGTTTGAGGCTTAACTTGCAACATGTTATGTCTGAGTCAGACACTTTACCTCAATTGTTTCAGTATATTCAGCAGTTTAATATGTAAATGGTGTTAACCTACAAAATACTGGCAACCAGGAAGAATGTATTACCATTTTCATCTGCTTCTGCAATTGAAACTGGAGTTCAGCATTGGCTCCTCTCTGCCATTTGGACTTTGAATGGATTTAACTTTACTTGTAAGGGTGTGGTCTCAAATAAATAATTTCAAAACGGTCATACCTTACTCACCCAAAGCTATCTCAATTTTGGACTGCCCTCTAAGCATTGCAAAAATTCTTCACTAAAAGTGCACTAGTCTTTCATACCCCACCAGTTTTGTACCATTTCAGAATGTGACTACCCTCCACCAATTATATTGCTCCCTCTGCTATTCTAGAGCAATCCTCACTTTCTCGATTGGTATTCTCGGGTGTACACATGTTTTAACTCTCTCCGTGCAACTACAAATTTGGATTGTGCTTAATCACAAATTTATATCAGTTTCAAATTTTTGTGTTTGATTTCCATTGTTTCTAATCGTTTGTTTTCAAAAATATTCATGTTTTCCAAATTCTAATTTGTTCACATGAATTTGAGATTAAATATGGCAGATATTACAGTTACCACAATACTTGACAATGGTCTTCAGGAGTCCCCAGTTTTCAGGGTCGATGATGTCTGCTGGGGAAGTACAGGTTTTAGTTCATGGAGAGTTCTTGTCTTACGTTCAGCTGATGATTTCTTCATTTCACATTACGATTTTTGTGAGAAAAGATAACTACTGAATGGAATTTATTTCTACGGCACCTTCCACCTTTTACTGCACCTCCATATAATTAGGTATTGTTCTTTTTCCCAGGAGATCTGTGGTAAGTTTTTCAGCATGTATTCCTCACTCCCTGTAGGTATACCCATGTTTAGTAAGTTTATGGGGATTGACCTATTTTCATCACGTGATAATTTAAATCTTTCTTGTCTTCACTGCTCAGTATTTGGTAAGTTAGACTTTTATAATTTTTTTACCATCCAAGTTATTTTAGTATAAATTTGCATTTAGAGTTTGATTATTACTTTGTTTTTGTTAAATTTTTGGTATATATGTGGGTTTTGTATGATAGTTACTGTTTGGATAATTGTAACTTTGGCTAATTTTGTGGGTGTGTTGGTTCGTTATATATGCTTCCTTTTACTGTTTATATTAGTTAGTTTGCAAGTTCATTTTTCTTTACTACTAGTAAAATTTAATTGGGAATTAGTTTGAGTACAATTTTGTTATTGTTAACTGGGTCTTTTGTCTTATTGGTTCATTAAGTGAAATTATAAGTTCGATATTTACGTGTCTTTATTTTTTTAAGTTCCTTTAATGGTTTTGTACTTTATATTTTCACTTTTTGGCTACACTTCACAACAGTTCCGTAGGTTCTGTCTCTTCAGTCATCTTGCCTAGTCTGTTCATGACCTACTACATAAAGGGGCTGTCAAATGGGTGGTATACCCTCTCAACCAGGTTTTACTCCTGTCTAATTTTTGTTCCAGTTGAACTCTTATCTGGAGCCACCTTGCTTCTCCATGGAGTCCTACCTCTCACTTCAGGGGTTTCCTCCCAAGATTCTGGTTGACCAAATCGTTGTGACAGATGCCTATCTTCATATTTCAACTTCTCCAATGTCACGTTGTTTTCTTCGATTAGTTTACGAGGTACTGCCATTCATTTCTTCTTCAGGAGAACCTCTCATGTAGAGAGGGAAGGAGACGGTAGGACCTTTGTGACTGCCTGCTCCAGAGCCAATGTGGAGAAGGCTGGGCCTAAATGAGATGGGAATTGAAGAGAACCACCAAATAAATAAGATACTGCATGGGGTAATAAGAGCCTTCTCCAATTTGATGAGAAAACCCTACCCAATTAACTTCCCGAAGAAGTAAGCAGGCGTGATTAACTGACAGGACAAGAAGAGGCAAGCAGGAGCCATTTGTCCATGAAAAGGAGAGTCTGAATACCCAACGAGTGAAAATGACAGGCAAAAGAGCATACCAATTGACAAAACACACAGAGTCTTTTGTGGATGTGGACTTCCATAGAAGCTCTCATTTCCTTGGGTCGGCTGCATGTATTCCATACAATGGACACTTCCCGACCAGTGGAACATATCTCACGATCCCTTGAAATGTCCCTGGGTTCAAGGCTGACCTTGCTTGGTGGCTGGACAGGGACTTGACCATGGTGGGAGTTTCATCTGCCCACAGATGCTTCCTTGTTGTGTTTTGGGTTTTCCTCGATCCCTAAGACATTTCTGCTTGGTGGTCATTTGAGGAGACTACTCTCCATATCAACATTCTTGAACTTTTGGCAGTTTATCTAGCTCTGTTTCATTTCCTCCCATTCCTGTGGGGGTGGGTGGTTGTGGTTCATTCCAACAATTCCACTGTCACCAAGCAAGGAGGAATCAAGTCTGGTATCACAACATTTTTCTGCTGTGATATTTTACTATCGTAGTAAATGACTGTTGGTACATTTTACCACCAGCAAATAATTATGTTCCCAAAACGTTTCCTTTTACAGTGAATGACTTTATTCCCCAAAATTAAAACAATGACCAATAATACATACGTTCTCTGTTATTTTTCAATTGATAAAGCCTTGCACAGGTTGCTTGATACGATCTTTTACTTCTGTGTATTTTCTTTGCTTCATTGATAGCTCTCTTCCTACTATGGCTCATATGATTATAACTGCACTTAACCTCTCCTCTTTTTATAGTATTTCAATCAGTTTAATTATGTTCAGTTGTCTGTTTCCAACATAATTTGTTCTAGCATCATCTAACATGCACAATGTTGTGTTCTTCAAATCCACGTATCCTCGAAATAGTCCACAATATTGGCTGCTCATTGGCCTACTATTCTATCAAAGCCTCAAATGTGCCCACTACCTGGTCTGGTAAAATGAAACTAGTGCCAGGAGGCAGCATACCCAGGATGTAAACTGTCCATCTTTCTCCCGACATAGCAGTGAAAAGCTGTGCATTTATGTTTGCCTTCATACACTTTGTGACAAATGAAAGCAGCAGCCCAAGACTTGAACACCTTGAAATTCTTTGTGGAACACTTTTATTGCAGCAAGCAATGATGTTGATCTTCCTTCAGACTTTGGTCCATTTGCAGTGGCTTCTGTCTAACCTCTCCTTCTGTTCCTCATCTGTCCAAGTTTTTCACCTGGTGGTTTCATCAGGGTTTGTCCATGTTAACTGTTGCTGGGTTCAAAGGGAGAACTGGACAAGGCATGAAGGACTACATTGATATCCCAATCCAGCAGAAACATGGGACGTGGTGGATGGACCAGAGGAAAGGAGGGAAATAACAGGGTAGTAGAAGGCTTTCCAGAAATGCAAGGTGTTCAACAGTGCAGCCCTAGATATATTGCAATGTGTTCATTGCACCAACTTTTCCTTAAGACCTGTTCCCTCTTCTTCTTGGAATGTGGTCATTGTCATTTCAATATTTATGTCATTAATGTTTCCCACATCTTTTGCCATTCCACTATGTTATCCTCCAACCAGATCAGGCCTTTTTTCCCAAGACATCAGCTGCCTGGAAAGGTATTAGTCTTTTCTTCTAATTCCTTACCTTACATTTCCTACCTGTATTCCCAGTTCTGATCCGGTTTGACTCCTTTGTCCAGTTTGTTCCCTGCGATGTTATTTGGCTTGTACTGCCTCCTTTCGTGGTTCTCATTTCTGTCTATTTGATCCATGGAATTCCTCTTTTTCCCCTGATCTATCACCTATTATGCTCAGTGATTGGGTTTATCAACTTGTACTACTGGTGTATTCTGACTTGTCCATGGAAGGTCACTGTCTACGTATCGTTTCTTTGCACCCAATTCGTCATCTGACTATGTATTTAGCTGCTTGAATCTTTTGGAGGAGATTGTTCAGGCTGGTACGTGGACAACTCCCAATACATTTGGTGCACCTAGCTGTGTCTTCCTTGGGTGGCTATAGTCTTCCTCCTGTGGCAATTCTACACACATCTGTTTTGCTTTTGCTGGAGTAGGTCGAAATATTATTATTTTTTATCTTATTCAATTGATATACATTGTATTTCAGGATCCAATCTGGTGTTGGGTGTTGCCTGGTCAGGTATGCTTCATATTATATTAGCACTAATTCTGTATACTTCTACAACACTTTCTATTGAGATGGGGTGTTTCTGCAAGATTACCAGCTGCTTGTCTAGTGGTATATATGTTGTGTGTGTGTGTGTGTGTGTGTGTGTATACATATACATATTATCACTGTTTCATATATAAAGGACTGTCACTCATGAACTTCATGAGTAAAGCAGATGGGGATTTCTGCCCATCCCTACTGACTTGTGATTCCTCCAATCGTGGTCTTTCTGTTTTTCAAAATAGGGAATCACAGACATCCATTGCACTGGTGTGTCATTCTCCTGTACTCCCCAACAGGTATTTCCTCCCCTCTTTTCTAGCTGAGCGTGGGAGTCCTTACCACTTCTAGTTCCCAGTCACTGGAGTGGGGGAACAAGGAAATTCCCTCCAGAGTGGGTTTTGTATAGCAAACCATATTGGACTTTATATATCATGTGTACTCACTTGGCAAGAAGAGGGCTATCATCATTATACACATTGCTATACTGAACAACGATTATACAATAACATCATATTCAAGATCCAAGACACTTCCTCTGGATGTTTTTGCTTGGGCAGACCACATTTGTTGATCAAAACTTTCTTATGCAAGGTGCTCCCACTGGATGTTTTCTGACTGAAGGGACCACACTTTGCATAATCTGATGCACTCCAAGATTCTCCCACCAGATGTTTCTTTTTTGCCCAGGTAGACCAAACTTGGCCCAATTAATATTATTTATCCAAGGTGCTTCCCTTGGATTTTTTTTGCCCGGGCTGACTGCACTTGTTGATTTCACATGCTTATACAAGGCACTTCCCCTGGAATATTTTTACCCAGGCAGACTGCACTTGGCTTATTCATATACATTTCATGGTCTTTCAGCCCTAGCCACATATAGTTATTTCATTTTTCTCTGGCACCATACTATGGCTCACTATCACTATGTTCAGTACTATAGCTTGCTACTTGTATGAATGATATATGATGATAACACATTGGTTATGAAAACCCTCAGGATCACACTCGTACCTGTAATTTTTTTTCTTAATCCTACATATCCAAGGCACTTCCCTTGGATGTTTTTTGTCTGAGAGGACTGCACTTGTTGTTCTCAATAACTTATACAAGATGTTTCCACTGGATTTTTTGCCTGGATGGATTGCACTTCACATACTCAGATTTAACCCAAGGCACTACCCTTGCCACATACTTATACAGGCCCATTGTTACTTCCACACTTGACTTTCCAGGTTTGTCAACACCATGCTGTTTCAAGTCATGCTTATACAGAACTTTTCCAGTGATTCGATACTGTACATCTTTTTTCCTGAATGCATTGGTGCCTGCCAATTCAGTTCTGCTCTTTTTTTGTTCCTGGGTGAAGAGCATACCTGTTCCAGAAGTAGTGCTACACCCCACAGGTGTGCTTTCTTTTCATATTCTTACACACCTGTTCTTTCAGTGCAGTCACTTTCCACTTGATTAGATATTGATGCACCTTCACTGGCCCTTCCACCTTTGCAATGTGAGATGCTAGCTTTGTGTGAGAGAGGAGGTAAGACTGTTTTGGAAATTAACTTTTTCTTATACTGAAAATGTATTTCCGATAGCTACTTACCTCCTGTCGCCCGCTTCCCACCATTCCTAGTGTTAGTATAGAGGGCATAGTATGATTGGTGGAGGGTAGTCACATGATCAGCACATGTTCTGAAATAGCACAAAACTGATGGGATATAAAAGACTGGTGCACTTCTAGCAATGGTTAGAGGGCAGTCCAGGATTGAGATAGCTTTGGGTGAGTACCTATCAGAAATACAATTTCAGTGTATAAAAATGTTAACTTCTGCTTATTTGTATTTCATTTAGAAATGTGTAATCAAAGAAAATAAACTTTTAGTTTTGAAATTGTATGGATTACACACTAGATGCAACCATTTTTAAGAGCACTGTGAAGAAGAACCATCTATGTTCAGAGTGACAAACATATTATGGTTCTGTTTTTCTCAGTTATCATCATCACAGCCTTTTTGAAGTGATATTATTTTGCAATAGGTTGGAAAAATGTTCCTTTACTCTTGTTTTATTGAGGGAAGTTTTTATATCCTTGATAATTATAATGAGGAGGAGATGGGGATAAAAGAAACTGATTACATCAAGAATCTATCTTCAACAAAATAAAAAATATAAAGTTGATCTGGGCAAAGTTTCAATGGACATTGGGATAGACCAATTGGTAAACAGGTGCAATGTCAAATCAATTGAATTTCACTGTAAGACTAAACCAAAATGCCCCATGCAAGTTGAGTGTACCAAAAGAGTAACAGATACTGTGACAAAATACAATCAGCCCAATACTCTGCCTACCTAGCCTATTTTTCCAGCATGTAATAAGCAACAAAGCATTTTTTCTAGGCCTGAGCTGGCAGTCATTCCAAAAATGTCACATTCATTACTAAAAGCTGAAAGGCTTTCATGTACTGATAATTAATGTTCATTGCATAGATAATTCTGGTGACTTTAACAAAGAGTTGAAAGAAAAAAAGAATCTAAAAATTTGTCTTAAAATACTGCTAGAATAATTACCAGGCAACCAGTTTCAATGTAAACTTTTATTAAACCTATAGAGAACAGCAAGAATTATAATAAAAAAAATCCACTAATACACTGTGAATATAAACTGTTTATTAGTAGGCAATGTATTAGAGTACAAAATGAAATCTGTGTTTCAAATGTTTACAGAAAACAATTTCTGAAGCACAATACACACAATTTAACATAAGACAACTACCAGCATGTTATATAAAAACATACATCCAGTCCCAATTTTAAATACACTTGAATGCAGGAAAAAAGCTATCTAAAACACCACATCCCATTATAACTAGTAACTACTTATGTTCCTAAAAGCATGTAACTTGAACCTTTTCACCAGTTCAGATCCTACAATGCTAATAATACTAAACATAACTGCTCTGACTTATAAGAATGCCCCAATTTTTATTGTTTGTTAAACAATGACTTAAGAAATAATTCAGTCCCAGCTATACCTTAATTTTTTCATTTCTTCCCTGATAAGGTTGTCAAGCATTAAGTCTTTGTCATAACCTTCATGTATATCTTCTCCTAATGTTCGAGCAGCAAAAGAAGTGTGAGGAGAAGGAAGAAGTTGAAGTGCTGTTGATAATGGCACAACATGCAACAGCTCTCCTTGATGACTCAGAAGACCTAAAGATTCTAAAAATTCAACAGCTTCTTCAGATTCAAATTCTACTTTTGCAGCCAGCTTTTTAAGAACCCACGCTTCTATCTGTTTCTCAAGCAGACCTTGAGTAATCCCACCTGTAAATAACATGTTGACATTGTAGTGCTTTTTTCATCTGGGGACACCTTTGTGGTCATAAAGGTTACTCTGAATGACCTTTTCATTATTGCACTTGTCTTGGTCTCTCTTTTGTTTCTTTTTTATTACTATAAGACAAATCTACCGACTGACCTTGTTTGTATCATAGATGGACCAAGACAAGCACAATGACAAAGTGGTCATTCAGAGTGACCTTTATGATCACAAAGTTATCCTCATATTTCAACCCTCCTCATTTATATTGCTTACGTTTAGATATTTCATGAAATACTGCACAAAGAGTTTTTCTTTTAAAAACTGGTTCTAACACTTAAGACTATCTTCCCCCTTTTTCCCAGAAATAATATTCAAACAGAATCATAATATACATGAAATTCTCTTACAGAGTGGTCAAACATGCTAAAATTGTTTTTTTTTATATAGTAATTCTTATTTCCACATGCTAAAATATTTTTTGGAATAACAACACTCAAGCTGGACAAAATATGAATATCCATTAATTTGCTTCTGCTCATCCAATTCACTTGAAAGTGGTGTCAAAAAAACAAACAAAACAACCATTCTTTGTGTGTCTGATCCTGAAATTTGGTAACTGATCTTTTCAGTCCTCGATTAGTATTTATTACCTGAGATGGGTGTCATTACAGACGATGTGATACATCTGAAATATGCCTATATTATACATTTACACTTGCTTGACACCAAGTCAGACTTTATTTATCAATTATAAAATTTCTTTAAATATTTTGCACTTGTTAACAAATATGCTGTTTATATCATTAACCTTTCACTGTGTTTATATCCTGTGTGGAACTTTTGATAATTTTGTTATAATGCTGCAGTTTTTGCTACATAGCTTCAATGCAACTAAAACAGGCTGTTTATGACTTCATGTAGGATCCCTCCTTTTGTGAATGAAATGTTCATTCATGTTATGCTAACACTCAAAAATTGCTTGTGTGAAATTTTTAGAGCTATTGCTTCCAGTTATGTAATATACAGCTGCAAAACAAAAGTTCTGTAAAAGCACATTATCCTGCTATGATATGCAGTAGTGACCTACACAACATGTATCCATTAGAAACCTTGGGGATTATTCTCCTGGAATACATTATATGCATAGCCAAGGAAACAGTATCTGTGAAAGGATGCAATGATATAGGGAAATATGGTTGATTATACTGCAGATTTTATGGAACAACACACACATAGAAACAGATATCATGCTGTACGGCCAGGGCTTGAAATTAGCGGGGGCCTGGAGCCAATGGCACCAAAAAATCTTAGAAGGCCCGTAAAAAGTGTTTGCTAAGTAACCAGTGTGGCCCTTTAAAATCAAAAGATCTATTAAAAGTTTAACCCCACATAAATTGGTCTAAGGGTTTCTTAACCAAGCAGAACTTACGACAAACCATGAATGAACCTTCCAAAATTTATGAACACTCGTCAGTCGTACAATCCACAAACGTCACTCTGAATGACCGTGTATTCAAAGTAAATGCACTTTCCTTAATAAGAATGCCATCACTTTGTTCAATATTCAGACTTTTTTGTATCAGTGTAATAGAATTGATATCCAAAATTTCATTTATAAAATTTGAAATATAGAGTGATTATTTGAAATTTTATAAAAGTAACAACTGTTTTTAATCAGAATGCTATTTTTTAACTTTTTATATATGACACCAAGCCTGCATCAAGGCTCACATATTTGAAAGATGTTCACTTTTCAAAAACATGCAAGTAAAAATTGCAAACTTGTAAGTTGTTTGGAGAACTTACCTTACTGCATGTACAGTACTGCACTAGCCCAAAAAAATAACAAAAAATTACAATATAAAATTACTGTTTTACCGATCCTGTCACAATCAGAAATTACCGATTGTCGATAATTATAGTGCACAATCGACCCAATTCCGATCATGTACAGTAAAGTTGACAATTTAACCTTAAAAATTGTAATGACTACATATTCCCTACAGAAAAAAAAAGGGGCAACGAAGTGAAACAAGCCAGTATGGTTTAAGAGGTCATATTAAGGATAAACATAATAAATTCAAGAAATTTAAAGTTACTGGAATTAATAAGGACTTAGAGGACGATAGGAAATCAAAAGGGGTGGTTAAAAAGGAGTTAAAAGGGCAAAAACTGTATGTGAAAGAGGGCTGGCTGAGAGAGTTAAAGCAAACAATAAGGAAGTCTTTAGGTATATAATGGGTAAGCAAAATGACTTATGAGATGGTAAGCTTATTAAATTATATGTTCTCTTCAGATTTTATGAAGGAAAATACAAGTATTATGCCTCAACCAGAGCACTTAATGTATGGGGAAAATACTGATGTAAAAGATATCGTTTTAAGTTCTGAAATTGTAAGAGAAAAGTTGGGAAACCTCAAAATTGATAAATCCCTTGGCCCAAACAACTTTTATCCCAGAGTTTTAAAGGAACTTAAAGATTTTATTTCTGAACCATTAGCTAATATTTTTCTATAGGTCATTTAGTTGTGGAAGAGTATTAGAAGATTGGAAGTTGGCTAATGTTAGTCTAATATTTAAAAGGGGTGATAAACATTGTCCATGCAATTATAGGGCAGTTACATCAGTAGTTGGAAAGGTGTTGGAGAATGAGATTAAAGATGTGTTGCAGACTCACTTAAAGTAGGTTGATATAGTGTCAAAGAGCCAGCATGGTTTCACTAAGGGAAAGTCTTGTTTAACAAATCCTCTGACATTCTTTGAGGATGTTACTGCAAGAGTGGATGAAGGAAATAGTGTGGATCTGGTTTACCTTGATTTTCACAAAGTGTTTGATAAGGTGCCTCACAAAAGACTTGTTACAAAAAAATTAAATCTGTGGATGTGGGGGAAAGGTTATTAAATTGGATAGAAAATTGGCTCAAGAGTAGAAAGCAGAGAGTAGTAATAAATGGAGTTATATTTTTGGAATTTTTGCTGTTTGTAATTTATATTAATGATATTGACTCTGGAATGACTAACAAAATTTTGAAGTTTCCAGATGATATTAAGATTTTTAGGGTGGCTAACTGTACCAAAGATGTTGTAGACTTATAGGGAGATTTAAATCATTTGATGCATTGGGCAGATATGTGGTAAACAATGTTTAACTACCCAAAACATAAGGTGATGCATGTAGCTTTTCACAATTCAAATTATTGTTATGATTTAAATGGGATTACATTAAATACTGTGGTTGAAGAAAAATATTTTGGTGTTGTGATCAAAAAATCACTGAAGTCATCTAAACATAGCTGGCAATGGGGCTAATAGGATTTTGGGTAGCTTCTATAGAAATATTTAATATAAGACAAGGAATATTATTCTTTCACTGTATACATCATATGTAAGGCCTCATTTATAGTACTGTGTACAGTTTTGGGTTCCCTTCCTCAAGAAGGACATTTAATTGTTGGACAAGGTTCAGAGAAGAGCCACTAGGATGATACCTGGGATGGTGGGATTGTCCTATGAGGAGAGATTAAAATCTATAAACTTGTTTTCTCTGGAGAGGAGATTTGATTGAGTTGTTTATGATTATTAAGAGTATTGATATAGATCTATCATACGTTTTTGTGTTTAGCAGTGAAAATAATAGGACTAGAGGTCATAAGTTCAAATTTTGACAGTGTAGGAGTTGTCTGAAGTTTAAACAGTAATACTTTTCAAACAGGGTGGTTAGCTTTTGCAATGAGCTGCCTTCAAGGGTGGTGGGGACAGAAAATTTAACTGAGTTCAAGACAAGATTGGATGAATACATGAGTAGTAAGGGGTTATAGATGGGAGCTGGAAGGGACATCCTTGATGGGCTGATAAGCTCCTTTTTGTCCCTTTAACATTTTATGGATGCATTTTGAAGCTTCATTAAATTTTAAATGGTTGAAATTATTAATAAATGTGCCATTCAAAAAAAAATAAATCCCAATCTCTTTTCCATTTTTTATTTGAACGAATGAAACATAAAAATGGGGACTGACCCTGTGGCTAGTACATGATCGACCATTGTGAAAGACAAATTGTTGAGGTTCCTTGCCTAAATTCATCATTCATTTCAGCCATAATGTTGAAGACTTTTGCTATCACTCTACACATTTGAACTAAACCACTTTCTAATTCCAGCTAAAGGTCAAATAAAGTAACTGCGTTTGAAAGTTTTCATTCATAAAGGGCAGAACCTTCAAATAGGTTGTTGAAATATTTTTTATTAAATTGGCCTTATCTGAAAGTGATCCTAATTGTATCTTTATTGCATATGTAATGACAAACTTTCCAATCTTAAAAGAAAGAAAAAAGAAATGACAACTTTAAATACATTATGATAAAGAAGTCCCACATCATGCTGATTGAATTATTAAAAATTTATCACCTCCTTGGCTCGAGACATGCTTTCATTGAATGTGGTTCAAATCTCAGCATTTATACTGTGTCACTTTTGACATTTGTTTAAAATCACAAAATATTAGGTTTTACTATACATAAAGATGTATACTCTCACCTGTTAGTTACAGGTGAAACAAGCAGTCTGTTACGACAATTGCCTACCTTTGTGATTCTTGTTTTAAAAATTTAATTCCTACTCGAAAAACCCAAAATATCTAGTTTCTCTCATTCAGAAGCAATCCAGCCAATCAGCAATCATGTTTGTCGAGCCACAATTGGCTTTAAAATAACTTCTTAGAACTATACATATCAAGACACACTGTATTTTGTCGTGCAGCCAAAACAACCTACAGGACACAGGAGTGATAGTTTAGCAATTTTACACTTTCTTCGCTCAGACTGTGGTAATCCAAACTATCACATATTTTCAGTGGATGTGCCATACAGGACCCTTACTTCACATACCAAATTTCAAGGAAATCCATTAAGAAATACACAATATATAAAATCTCCATTTCTTCCATTTTTTTTTCGCATGGAAAATACGGAAACTTTATTTGATTGAAAAACATACTTAACTTTTATGGATTTTTTTCAAATAGATAGATCTTTACAAACTACAATTAGATGTCAAATTTGGTCTAAATGTAAGCCACATTTGCAAAGTTATCCAACAAAAACTGCTCAATTTGACCAAAAGTTTTGTGAATGCCTATGTAAAAATCATGTGAGCTATTGGTCTAAGCTTTTTACTACAGCTACACCTAAGAGTAAAAGTGCATCCTTTTTAGTTTTTCATCATTCGGATGGAAAACAGCTGATTTAGAGCAGCTAAGCTACAGGGTGAAAGCACGTGCAGATACATAAGTGTTGGTTAGGCCAAGCAAGCTAAATTAGCAGTTTATACCTCAAGTTTTCGAAAGAATCATGTGGACTGTTATTATTCATTGCCATCTTTTAAGCACAAGTTTGCTAAATTTTATGAAATTCTCCTGATTAAAGAGCTTTAGCATCACGTGATATTAGCTTAAGCAATTACCATAAAGAATGATGCTTGATTCCACGGTGTTATGATAAAGGAAATTATTAACACTGTTTTAGAGAGGAAAAACTACCACCATATATTTTAAAGAATTTGATTGGTACTGTAAAGTATAGGTCTATTCTGAATAATAGGGTTGCGATCCTAAAGCTAATGTTGGTTAGTATTGAATATTGATAAAAAGTCATGATATTTAATCAAAAATACCTTAGCTGTGAAAAAAAGGTGTGACCGAAAAAGGATAGAGCATGTGACTTAAGGGAATGAAATCAAAATTGGTGGCCAAACTGGTAGCTAACCTTATAGCATTGATAATAATCTTACAGCAAATATTCATTCATTAGTTAGCCAGGTCAAATACTTTGTTTTACCCACCATCATGCCTCAAGCTGAACAGAAAACATGGCCTGGTGAGCTAATGAATGAATATTTGCTGTATAATTTTTATCAATGCTATAAGTGTAGCTATCAATTTGGTGACTAATTTTGATTTCATTACTTTAACTCACACACTCAATCCTTTTTTGACCACACCTTTTTTTTCACACTCAAGGTGTTTTTGATTAGATTCATAAATAACAGGACTGTCAAATGATGAAATGGAATGTTCCATAGCTGTCCAATTGGTTAGTTATTTTGTAAGTATTTGTATCTATCTGTTTACCACTTTCAACTTATAGTGACATCTCCGACAGTGACATGCACAATTCAAACAATCAACATAACTCCCCTACTGGAAAGTAATGGAACATTCCAAATTTCCAATCACTTTTGTTATGCGCTCTTTTGGCAACCTCCACAAACAATGAGCTAATATACAGTATGGTACTAATGGAGAGGCACATGGTGTATCATCCTGAGGACTTAATATGGAACAAAAGTTACTATTATACCATGCTTTAGAGAGAAATTAAAGATCTTATATGAAATCAAAATAATTTAAGTGGTCAGAAACAAAATTAAATGGTTTGACTTGCATTTTTTTTTGATGAAATACGAGTTCAGAACAAAATAAATTGAGATATGTTGATATCTTTAATTTCCCTTCAATTTACGTAACATCCACTACTTTTCTGATAACTTCCACTATAGAGTACATTTTACAATGAGCTATAGGATTGGCCCCTAAGAATGCATGTTTTGGGGACACAGCTGTCTCCCTAAAAAAAAAGTTAAGCATGAGCCCTGTGTAAGGCTATGGCATAATGCAGTGAAATGGTTAAACAAAATTGATCTTTTAATTCTTTGCTAATATAAATAGGTAATCTACATTGTGTCCAACTATGTATAACAAAGCATTTAACATGCCAACCACTGTAAATGTGAATTAAGAAGTCAATAGAAAAAAATAAATGCTTTAATTCAAATTTTTTGAAGAGAAAACCAAATAAAACTGAAGTTTTTCAAGGTAACATTTCCATCTACAACATTTAAATTGAAAGATCACTAACACTAAAATAACTGCTTTTTACTTATATTCAGTGTATAATTATCCAAACTTACTCAATACACAAGAAAAATTAATGTAAATCAAGTATTTAATACAAAGGCATATTTCATAATAACATACAAATAAAACAGTCATCATTTCAGGTTACACTAGATTTACTCCACATTACAATTCACTCTGAAACCAAAACCATAATAAGCAGAACTCACCTAATTCTTCAGGTTTTTGCTTTTGACTTGGTTTGATTTTAACAGATGGTGGACGTTCCACCAACAGGAAAGTATAGGCCAACAAAACCTCCTTAAAGAACTCATCTTCTGCTCGATCTTTCAGCAGTGTTAAAAGTCCACGATTATTGGAAATGTTCTTGAAATAAAGAATTCTGTTCATGTCGGCTATATGTTTTGTTTTTCTTTTTGTAAACATCAGCCACGTGCGAGCAGCAACTAATGCACTCAGTGCTGCTATACCAACTGTCCATTGAATCTGGAATCCTGCAAGGTAGGTGACAATTTTAGCTAGGATACCTAGACCACTGGCAGAGAGTGATGTTGTCAAGACTGTTTTTTGAAAGTCTGACATGTGAACTTTACCTTCGGGTAATAGCTGCTCTAGTGTATGCACTGGAATGTCTCGAAATCCTTTCAAAAAGAGCTTGTGGTCAGTTCTCAGACGAACAGCAACCACCACTCGCTTGTAAAACTGTAGAGGTTTTGGGCGCTTGACCTTCTGTTTGTACCTTTCAAGAAACTGAGGAACTTTCAACTGCATCAATAAACCTGTTATTTTTTGATGCCAAGAAAGTGGAATTGTAGGTAATTCCTTACCAAGAGTCCAGAATCTCAGAACAGCATACTTAGCTGTATCAACTTTTACCTAAAAATCAGTGAAAGTAAGTAATCTCAATCATACATCACCATAACATTTACATTTCAATTCCTACTTTTCAAATTAATAGTTTTGCAGTATTATTGCTATAAAATTGCCTAAATGACATTGACTATTTTAAGAATATCTATAATAATCTTCCCCTTGTAATTATGTGAAGACTGTTTCTTTAATTAATGTGAGAATATATTTTTCAGCAAATATCCAACTGAAAATCAGTAATGAGTTGAACTTAGTGAATATTAAGATAACTTTTAACCATCAATATGCAGAAACTTGTTCTTCAATCATTAGAAATAACAATAGTTTAATTAAATACAATTTTGTTAGGAACAGCATTCTTCACTCATTGAAATAACAGTAGTTTAATTAAACACAGTTTAGTTAGTAACAGCATTCTTCACTCATTAGAAATAACAGTAGTTTCATTTATATTAACTCTATTGAGATGGGGTTGGCTCTTCTGTGCATGTCCCAACCTTTTATAGAGTTATGTTAAGAACCTGCTAAAACAACTTTATTATTGATATATATCATTATAGTAAGTATCACTATGTAGTATATAATTCACATTTTCATATAACCTAATTTTAACTTTTTAATTTCAAATTAAAATATTTTAAAACATTGTCAGTTTTCACTTTTGTTGTCACATGATGTGCGAGTTGTCATACTTTTCCTCCTTTAAGTTGTTATAACTCCAAAAGCCCAACATATACACTGTATATTATATTCTAGACACAATCTATAAACAATTTCAAAATTCCAATACTGTTTAATTGTCCCAATTTCTCCCTTTAGTGAAATATCAATAAATTTGCACAACCCATGACAGAAGCCTCACCCATCTGTCCTTCACTTTCAAGGTAGTTTTTAAAATCATGTTATCTTATTTGATGTACTTGTTAATTAATAATAGAGAACTTATTCTTAATTTTAAGCTTGCAATTGTCCTTTTGAAATTGACAGCAATATTTGTCAACAAGACATCTTGATTGTGTAATTTGGCTGCAAGTGAAGTTGGCACTCACAATATTTAACAAATTTTATAACCTAGTTAAATCACAGTTATATATACAGTTAAGTTATAGTTGGTTTTGGACATTCTAATTTAGTGAATTACTTATGTTTTAAAATGCATATTTGAATGATGAAATATTTTGTTTTTGGGCAAAAAGCTAGGAAAATTTTTAACAAGACTTATCTTGCTAAGCAATGAGTGCAGTATGCAAACGTATGTGAATCTGGTAACATGTTCCTCTTGTGATACGTTTGTTTCACTAATGAATAAACTGTATGCCATACAAGCCAGGCACTAAAACTATAAAATTAAAACTAAATTATATGTGCAAAGGTAAACAGTTAAAATTGGGAATAACGTGAATTTCAATCATGGAAACAAATTAATTATGGAAAAAAAAAGAAAAAAGGTTTGATTTCATAATATTTTAAATTTCCTTTCAGTTTCATTATGTACTGATGACTCAGCTATATCACTATAAAATATAAACTTTTACCATATAAAAACTTTTGCTATTCACTTAGGTTCTAGAGGTTATGCAAATTAGTATGAAAACTGTAAGATGAAAAGAAGTATTTATATTCTTTGCATGAAAATCACCCTGTACTCAGAATAATCAGTCTCTCAGTCAGACTGACTCTTGTAGAAACATTTTTTTTAGTAAAAAGACTGATTTTCTTTGAACAACATACTTTTCACATTTACCAAAAATTAGCCAAATGTCTTTAAGATGCACTTAGTACATTCTCAATAATAGTAAACACTGCTACGTACAGCTTCACAGAAACAGGTTGAGTGGACAGTATTTTTTCACCCATTGGAAATAACATTTATTTCATTCTACACAGTTTAGCCAGTAACAGCATTATTCATCCATTAAGACATAACAGTGGTAACAGTAACTAAATTAAAGACTTCATGCACTATTATGAGTTTTTTTCTATCACTATTGTTAATCTAATAGACAAATTATTTTTAATATAACTTAGGTTAAAAATCTAAAAGTGGAAAGAGCACAACGAAGTGGTTTTTGTGGTTGATAAAGTATGTGAAAATTCCTACATTAGCTAGGCTTTGGCTAAAGGTAAAATGAAAGTTTTAAGAATAACAAACATGCAAGTTTGACTGAAGGATAGATATACAGTCAGTTTTCCAGTGAGGGCCTACTGTCAAAGAAAGTAACCTGATGAAACCAAACAGAGGCTTAATATGGACATTTTCAGTCTGTTACTGACTACTTGGAAAAGCTATTGTTATGTCCTCAACTAAATGTTTGGTAACTGTCAAGGAAGATCTTTCCTAGTTCACAATCACAAAAGGACCATATTATAGTTAAAATTCATTGTGAAAATTGTTAGAAGTATTTAATAATCTACTGTCAAAGAGCACAGGTGTTTACTTCTGTGCACAAAGCTTATCTTTCCTATATAAGTAAGCATATTAGAAATTTTGTTTAAGAAAATAATTGTGATATCAATATGTGTCACCAAACCTTCTCCCCACTAAAACCAAACTTGCTACCTCATCAAGGCTATATCCTTTAATAACTGTGTAGCTACCCCAGGAAATCTATATCTTTCCACTGCAAATCTGCATCTTTTCACATCTCTCTAGCTACCTCAGAAAAGCTATATATTTTCCTACCTATGTAGCTACTCCAGCAAAGCTACATCTTTCATATCTCTGTAGCTACCCCAGCAAAGCTGCATCTTTTCACATCTCTGTAGCTACATCAGAAAAGCTATATATTTTCCTACCTATGTAGCTACTCCAACAAAGCTACATCTTTCATATCTCTGTAGCTACCCCAGCAAAGCTGCATCTTTTCACATCTCTGTAGCTACATCAGAAAAGCTATATCTTTTTGATAATTATGTAGCTACTTCAGCAAAGCTATATTTTTTATATACTTGTGTAGCAACCTCAGCAAAGTTATATTTTTTTGTACCTGTGTAGCTACTTCAGGAAAGCTATATCCTTTCCTACCTATATATAACTAACATAAATCATCAAACCCACCAATCTGATAAGAAATGAAATGTCTTACAATTACCTTCACTCCTGTTCCAGTTTGATGTTCTTCGAGAGCAGCCTGTACAATATGACCAGGAAGTTCATAGAAATTAGCTTTTTCCATGATGATAGCTAGCCTTTGGAGTAACCAGAATTCTTGGTCAAGACGATCATGAAGTGGGACGTGCTTGGTGCTAACAGTGTCTCTGTCAGGATTTAGAGAGTCAAAAAGACCCTGAAGAAAAAATAAAGAGTGCTCTTAAAAATTATTAATCCAATTTGTATCATTAAGTATTGTAGTACTTAATAGTAAGGATCATGATGAAACAAGATGGTAGCCATAAAAATTGCTCGCTTAAAACCATCTTTTAAAATGTCTGAATATTGAGTATTTCACAGTCTTGGTTGAGCAAAACTAAAGCTTATTGTATTGTATGTATAAAGCCACCTAAATTGTTATATACATGTTTGTGGAGTGAATCAAAAATTTCACTATTTCAACAAATTTTCACCTAAGTGACTTTTCCAGAAAAGTGTACAGAAATACTCATGCAATTTTGACCTGATTTTTGCTGTTATCTGACTGGAATACTATCCAACTGAGTCAGATAAGTATTCTCAGATATACAAATCTGATAACTGACAAAATCATACCATCTTTATAAAACTGAAAGAAAAACTTAACGAGTAAAAAGAAAATCCAGCTACTTACCTTTAACTCCTGAACAAGACCCTGATAACGATTGACAGCAATTCCATCCAAGGCTAAAGCTAATTGTTCCATCAGTTTCCTTTCCTCTTGTGAGAAAAAGTCTTCCTCCAGCAAATGGCGAACCAGAGAATGACTTGTAAGGGGTATGAAGTAATCTCTGCACATAATAAGAACAAACATGCACAAGTCAGAAGCCTATGCAGCTCTTTTAGATTTATTCAGTTCCTTTTATACATTGCATTCTGTAACAGGCGGAAATATAAAATTACTCAACAGATATACTTTGCAAGATAGAAACCCTAACAAGAAACTGTTGGTAATCTGAGGGTTAAAAATGTAAGAAAAACTTAACAAGAGAAGGTTATTTAAGCCCAACAAAGTTACCCTTCAGTCTATCAAAAAAAAAATAATCAATACACAAACTGAAAACTAAGTCTTTTTATATCCATATACCTATTCACAAAAATTAAGAGAAGTTAAAGTGACATATTAGTTTACACCACCAAGCACATCATTCTCATTTTAAATTTTTATACCATAATTATAACCAAAAAATAACTTTGCTAAAGAACAACCAGATATGATTTCCTAATGACATTTCCAGTAGTTTTTTACCACCCACAAGCAGATTACCCAACTCTCTAGCAATTTTAAACATTTAAAAAAGGTGGGTGCAAGCTTACAGAACGTGACTGAACAATTAAGAGATGTTTCATAAACTCTTGTTCCCCACACCTGAAGTTTAATTATGTAACAATTACCAACTCCAAAAGGATGCATTAATTACAGGGAAGCAACTCATAATGTTTCCCATAATACCTCAAATGCAGAATACTTCATTCAACCTTGCACCTGCCCCTTTAACAAATGTAACCTCTACATCTTTTATGCCCCATGTCACCTCTATACATTTTATGCCCCAGTGGAAATGAATCCAAACCTTCACTGAACCAAGTACCATTGTACTTTGTAGTAGCTCTCATTTTTTACAACATGTTGATATTCTTACTGGAGAAAGAAACCCAAAACTGCACACAGCATTCAAAATGAAGCTTCACCACAGTCTATACTGCTGCAACAACTTTTTTTACTCCCAAATGAAAAACTTCCTGAGGATGCTATTAACTTGTTAATCCTACATAACATGTCCTTCACTTTAAAGAAGTTAAATGAGAGCAAAACATATAAAAAAATGCATTCTCAAACAAGTATGAAATACTGACAGAAGCTATATTGTCATTTAAACACCGATATTTTTGGTCATTCTGATACCTCTAAAAAAAACAGTTTTGTCTCCAGTACTGAAATGTTGTACCTCGTCTCATCATCATCAACTAGTTCTTCTATTTCTTTCATCAATTCAACTGTTCTTAAAGTTACTGTTGATTGCTGAGTTTTTTTATCCATATTCTGAGAGTGTGTGACATTGTTCATCAGTATAGTTGATGTTGCTAAACATCTCTGGCTGAATAAATTGGTCACCTTAGTATGCGATGCATTTCTGAGAGTCCACTTACATATCTGAAAATAACAAGTATATTAGATTCCCCTCAACAAATTCTACTGATGTGCCTCTAAAAGAATCAAAATTTAAAAACTGAAGCAAAGCTACACATAGTGATATATGCAGAAACATTTAACTGGTTATTGCAAGCTTCAGTTATTACATAAATTTACCTGGTTATTAAAAGCTTCAGACTTAAAACAAATTAAACTGTTTATTTCAAGATTCAGTTATTACATAAAAATTTAACTAGTTATTGCAAAATTGAGATTATTATACAAATTTTAATTGGTTACTGCAAGCTTCCGATATTACACAAGTTAAAATGATTAATTAAAAGCTTCAGTTATAACACAAATTTAACTGGTAATTACAGGTTTTATGTACTTTTGCACACATTTGAAGTATAATTTAAAAAGGTTTTATAATAAAAAATTTAAAAAAATGATAGAAAAAAAAGATGAAAAAGTGTTTAGACCTAAGCTTCACAACTGTCCAGAAATGTTAAATCAACTAATTGTTTAGCTAATGTTAGTACACTATATTTAACAAGCTTCTTAATTTTATCAAGTGTTAGTACAAGTAAAGCAGTTACCCTAAAGTTATCTCTGCTTATAATATGAATATTTATTGAGAATAGTTACCAAGCCTCAAAATAAATTCTGCTACTTTAATGAAATGTATAACCACAAGAATAAAGTGGAGAAATCTCTGTTCTATAATCTTCTGTTACTATAAGTATCAGTAAATATTACTTGTAGGGTTAACTAATACATTTGTACTCAGAATGTAGATGTTAATGAAACAGGTTTTCTACAACAGAGTTGTTTACAATAAAGCTTAAATTTTAAAATTACATCCAGCATCTCTTAGATTTACATTAATAAAACCTACATCAATACCAGGTGTGAAGGCTAAAAAAAATAAACAGGAAACGAGGGTTATACATCATACATGAACATTCTTTACTTGTTTAAGTGGTTTTGGTGGAGAAAAAAAATCTATAATTCCTTATTTTTCCTAATGTAACACAATACAAAAATTACCAAGTCTTAAAGATATATTACCTTTGGACATCAATTATTTTACCTTTCATTTCAGATTAATACTTTAAAAAATGTATTTTAAAACTCTGTTCTTGCTCTATTCATCACTAGAGAGTGAATATCTCCAGTCTAATGGTAGTGTTATATTATGAAAAGAAAAGCTGACATATTATGATGTTCCAAGTTGCGTATGGTACTAGGACATAAACATCAGCCTAACCTGTTAGAAAAATAAAACTATTTGATTGAAGCCTAGCCTGTAGATAAAAGTGTAGGGTAGGAAGAAAATATAAAAGTAGTTTAATGGGCATGCTAAACTGTTACTACTGTAATGCTAGAAGTCTAAGAAATAAAATAGATGACTTTAGAGCACTAGTCAAACAGAAGATTTTTTGATATAATGGGAATAACTGAAACTTGGTTTAAATGTAGACAACTTTGATGAGAGAAATTTCTTTGAAATAAGGTTTATAGGTTATTTAATAGGAAAAGAGTACTAAAAAGAGGGAGGAGTAGTGGCCTACTATGTAAAATGTGAGTTACATCCTGTTCAAGATAAAGATACCAAATATATATAATAGCAATGAGGTTGTATCTATTTGGGTTTCTATTAGTGAATATAAACAGTAGAAGGCTTTTAGTTGGAATTTTTTATACAGACTACCAGATGAAATTGATGAAAAACTCTACAGTGAGCTTAAGATTTCAGCAGTTGACAAGGTCATAATTATGGGGGATTTCAATTTCTTCCATATAGATTGGGAAACCATGAGAGAGACAGGTTATTAGAAACTGTTCAGGATGGTTTCTTCACCAATTGGTTAGGGAACTTATGAGGAACAAAGCCATTTTAAATTTATTGTTTACTTTGTTAACTTCTAGTACAGAAATGGTTAAGAAGGTAGAGATTGGAGAACATCTGGGTGCAAGTAACCACTGCTTTATTAGGTTTAATGTTTTAATGCTTAGGAAGATCAAGAATAATCAGACTTTTGTTAAGATTTTCAAAACACCAAATTTTGAAGGATGTGACAAAAAGTATCTGTTGTGAATTACGCAACTGAATTAACTGAATGTACTGATAAAATGTGGAAAATGTTTTAAATAATGTTTTTTAATATTCAATATAGACATGTTTGTTATACATAAAACATAAAGGGGGCTTCAAACAAAAAACCAGCTTGTTTCACAAAGTATGTAAAGGATAAAATTAAGGAAAAGATTAATAAACTGAAGAAGTTTAAATTGACTATTACCATGGGAGACTTTGAGGATTATAGAAGATCAAGAGAGTTGGTCAAACAGAAAATTAGGAAACACAAAAAAGCATATGAAAAAAGGTTGACTGAAAATGTAAAAATTAACAGTGCAGAGATGTATGAGGCAAATTAAAATGAGGGGGGGGGGTGATATGATTTGTTGGACTGAGCAAAGCAAGGGAATGTGTGCCACAGGCCCACCCATTACAGTTAGGGTCCAGGGATCACCCTAGAGTCCTGGAAGATCTTGTGTTCTGAATTAAGTTTTCTTGACAATAAGTTTCCTCATTTTGATGCATTTTTACTGGTACAGATTGAAAAATGTGTGGGAAGAGGGGGTTGGGCTCCTCCTGTAGTAAGGATCTATTTAAATCCAATAAGCAAAATATTAGTAAGGAGTAAGGCCTTTGAAGGATGATAAATGAAGGCTCTATCTGATGATTACAAGCTGGCTACATTATTCTACATTTTCTTCAGTTTTTCTAATGAAGATTTAAGCAATATTTCTCATCCTGAACAATTTTTGGACAGAAACAAGATCAAACAAAATGATCACATTAATTCTGAGCTTGTTAAGAGTAAATTGGGAAGTTCAAAGAGTGATAAGGAACTTAGACCAGATAATATTTCTCCAAAGGTTTTGAAAGAGGTTGAAGACTGGATATGTAAGCCATTTGCTTTTATTTTTTGTAATCACTTGACATTAAGGTTTTGGGTGTTGATGGCTGTGTGATGGATACTGCTGCTTTACCAAAGGATTTAGATCATTTGGTGAGTTGGGCATATAAATAGTAGATGGGTTTTTAATTATAATAAATGCAAGGTAACACATGTAGGTTATCATAATTTGAATTATAAGTATAATTTTTGGTGGGATTAACCTTAACAGTATTATACAAGAAAAAGGATCTTGGCATTTTGGTTCATTATACTGTAATTTATTTAAGCAGTGTGCTATTCCTAGTGGTAGGGCAAATAGGATTTTAAGTTTATGTACAGAAATACTGAACAAAGTCTAAAGAGGCTATAGTTTTATTGTATAGGTTACTGGGTACACCACATTTGAAGTATTGTATTCAGTCTTGGAAAACACAATAAATTGTTGGAATGAATTCAGAGGAGGGCTACTAGGATAACTGGAATGGAAAGGTTGTCATACAAGGATGGGTTAAGATCTCTAAAATTGTTTTCTCTTGAATAAAGAAGAGTTAGTGGGGATCTCATTGAGGTGTTTAAGATTAAGAGAACTCATAATCTTTGCATCATCTTTTTTTGCACTTATGATGAGAATGGTAGAGCTAGGGGACAAAAAATATAAATTTTGATGGGATAGGGATCATCTTCAACTATGATGGTTCTATTTTTCTAACAGGGTGGTTGGCCTTTCTAATAGGCTGCTTTCAGATGTGGTGAGTGCAGGAAATTGAAGAGAGTTTATGGGAAAGTTTGATAAATATTTGAATGACAAGAACTGGCTACATTTTGTTTTTTGTATGTTTAGTTTATTAGATGAAAATCTAGATGGACAGAGGGCATACTGTCCTTAAATTTTATGTTACGTTAAATATTGTCCTTTCATCCAATTTTATTCAGAGTAGCTCAACACAATAGAGAATGTGGATTCATGAGCACTGTTTATTTAAACATTACACACAACACAAGATACAATCTAAGTACACTGGACAAGTGACACTTGTATACTAAGTGGCAAACATTGTGAATCATACTACTAATAATCACATTAACAGGCACCAGTAATGTAAGTGGTATAGCCTATATGATGTTATGTAGACAGCAGCCCTACTCCCATTACTACTGTCTTTATATATCCCCAGTAAAGTATTTATATATGGCAGCTTGGAACATGTGAATTCATTTTTTTTACAATACATATCTCTTTGAATAGAACAAACCAGCAATAAAGACATTGTACAGAATTAATCTCAATATTATTCATCAACATAACGCTGACGTGGCATCATAGTTTGACTTGTACTAGCAGCTATGAAAGAGAGGATTGCTAATAAATTAATAATGTAAGAAGTGGTTAAAACTAGTGAGTACCAGTATTATCATAGATGAATTAAGTTGTCTGTGTAGAAGATTGTTTGCCAATAGATGCCTGCATCTGAAAGAAACAAATAATGCTAAATTGGTTCCTCAGATGTACTTACTTTAAACTGTATTTTTCAAAAAAAAATCAAATTAACCCCCCCCCCCAAACTTGTTTTATAAGGTAACTTTACATTTAAAAAGGGTCAGAACTTTAAACTTATTTTAAAGTTTTTGTATTATGTCACACGTTATTAGAAAGGGATAGAAATGGTGAATTTTCTTTCCCCATGAAAGAATTGTTTATAATCACTAGTGATATTATCTAGTAGTAATACTTAAAACTTCATCATTCATGTGCAGTATGCTTATGTTTGTGATGACAAATATCGATACAAATGTAACATTGTTAGAACGTTGTGTGGCCCAAAATATTTTACGATATCCTCAACAGGACTTAATTATACTAATACTCACTAATAGTAATAGAACTCACTAATACTAATAATATATTATACTTATAAGTTATACTATTACTAGTTATAACTTATAGCTTATAATATGGTTACCTAATGGTAATAATCAATATTATAAGAACTAAAACTAATAACATGAATATTGAAAAAAACATCAATTCAAGTTTACCTGTGCTAAAGGCCGGACGCTGAGACTACATAGTGACATATTTACTTTTTTTTTTTCAACTAGGTTAACCCTAGTTCAGCTTAAGTCTCTTGTAACGGTTACTACTAATACTATAGTAATAGGAATGGGAGCCGAAATTCAAATACTTTTTCTTTCGACGTAAAGAACATACTCTTCATAAATATTAAACTAACTATAGAAAGTTTATGTTGTTATTTTTCCAAAACACCGAGAATGTATTAGGAGTATGAAATTGAAATGTAATAACAATAATATTTGTTATTTACAAATTATAATTTTGGCTTAAACTAATAACATCAATCACACATGAAGTCAACATCCGACCATATCGCGAAGTATCTTAAATGTCATCTGCACTAGTGGTTTTCAATCTGGTTCGCAGGCTCTCTGGCAGGTGGTGCATGGTAAGGCTGCATAATTACAAAAAGAAAGCGACAATATAGTGTATAGGGCCCGGCATGGCCAGGTGGATAAGGCGCTCGACTAGCAATCTGAG